GCACTTATTCCACTGAGCCATCTCCCCGGCCCCTTGAAATTTTGATTATTTTATTTTATTCATCTTTCCTGTCTCATATAACATGGTAGAGATGATTGGTTGTAGAAGAATTAAAAAAATATTTATTGGACCTTGATTACATCATATGCTTCTGAGAGTTGATTTCTGCGTCACGAGTACCACACCAGGACTTCAAATGTCTCTGTGATGAGGACTTCTTCCTGGCCTAGTCAGCTTCCACGGAGAGATTCGTCATGACTAAATGCGCCATTAGCTTGCTCCGGCTCTGAGGAGCAGCCCTGGGGCCCCCGGGTGCGGGCCTGGAGCCCTGTGAGCGCTTTGGGTGGTAGACAACGCTTCCAGGACACTGATTCTTTGGGGTGGAGAGAAGAGAAATGAGCGGAACTCCGCGTGCTGAGCACGCTCACCCCTTGCCCTACCTAAAGCTAACGCTTCTGCGTCGAGCCCCACTGCCCCTTTCTAGTTCATTTTTCTCTCACAGATTAAGCCCCTTGGAAAACTTTAACTCAATTTTGCGGGGTTAGGGACTGGCTATCATTGAGCTTTACCATATAGCTGGAAATGCACTAAATGGAGCTAAGAAACTCAGAGTTCCTTGACCAACATGTACTTTGAAATCTTCGAAGCCTTTCCTAAGATTTTTTTCCTCATATTTATTAAGTTTCTCTGCATTTTCAGTATTATTTGCTGCAATTATTTGCAGCACGGTGACATACACTCACTATGACATAGTTGAGTGCACTTACCGATTACCGACACGGAGAGAAGGAAAGCCTGCTGCTTGTGACAACGTGAGTTACCCTGGAGGATGTCATGCTGAACGAAGCAACCCAGACACATACAACCTCACATTTAAACTCTTACAAAGTAAAATTCATACAAGTAGACCACAGAATCAATTTTTTTCAGGGTGCAATAGTTGTGCAAAATGGGGAGCTATTGGTCTTCTTTTTCTTGTGATGAAAGAATATCTCTGGTCTTCTGAGAGCCTCAACATATACATTTAAAATATCTGCATTTTGGTTCTAGCAAAGAGAAGAGATGGTTAAAAAACTGCAGAGGAGTGACGGACTTTTCAAACTTAAGATAGGGAGATGTAATTAGTTAATCATGTTCTGTTTGGAACTCTTAAATATCATTCTATGCATTTACTACTCTTCTCAATTTGGTTAAAGAAGGAAGTAATGAGCAAGCACATTAGGAAAAGATAACCCCAAATCCTGTAAGTTTTGTCTGTCATGTCCTTAAATACCCATTACTTGATGCTTCTAAAATATTGTATGAGAAATACTTATCCAAAAATGAAACAGTGGATTACCAGTGATAAAATTTTATGGGACTTCTAACCTTTCATCTTCAAATCTCATAAATCAGACAAGTCCAAGAGGTAAGAATTCACATCTTAGAAACACTGTATGACTCCAGGAAACCTCAGTGAACAAAAGCTGGACTGAATTTTTGTGGTGTATTTGAAGGAACTGGCTATGGGTGACATCAGATTGTCTAAGTCAGAAGCCAGTATTCGTGGTCCATTCGGACACCTGGTGAGGACCTTAACCAAGGACAATCAGACCCTGTTACCTTTAAGGAAGAGTCAGATTTTCATATCCAAAATGACTTTGATTTTCTTTAGGTAGAAGGATTTATAGCTTTGCTCTCTGTTTGCGATATTCCCTGGGGAAGTAGCATATGATTCATTTGATTATTATGCCAGAATCATCTTAGATTAGACTTAGAAATTGCCTTGACTTTCCTGCTAATTGACTGAAGCTCCTACATATTCCCAAGTGACAAATGCAGACACAATGGAGGGAAAGGAGCAAAACAACATAAGTGATCTCTGCTCTGCTGTACAGAACTAAACAATTTAAAGATACCCACTCATCCAGTTTTACGGAATCAGCTATTAAAGCAACAGTGGAAAAACCAGCCTTGACTTCACTCCAGTAAAGCTGGAGCCCTTCCAGAGTCGTGGTGTCGCTGTAATGACATTATTGCTACCATGGGGGATGCTTTTCTTTTAGATCATCACTCAGATAAAACAAGTAGCAGGTACTGATACCCTTTAGTGTTTCACCCATATTGTCCCACGTTGCTATTCTCATATTCAGAGGCCGAACAGCTCATAAGTTGTCTGAAGTCATGTGATTTATAACAAGGGGATATTTACTCTGAGCCTCACTTCTAATGAGTGGCATGGCTGCCTGTGCTTTAAGGGGGCAAAGCCACAGCCGTCATTGCCGGGCGACCTGTCCCTGCAGTGACCACTCCTCAGCAGAGCTAAGACTTCTTTAAATGATGGCCCGCACCACTTAAAGGAAAACAAAATCCACATTGACTTCCACATGTACAGAAACTGAGCAAAGTCTGCATACAGTCGAAAATGGACCTAAATGGCACAAAGCAATATCTTAAAAATATATTTTACTAATGCTTTCTGCTTAACATCTAAATCAAGGTCAAAACATTTCAAAAGCAAGTAAGTGCAGGCTTTGTAGCTTCAGTGCTTAGGGTGCTGCACACTGAGACCCTTTCCTCAGCCCTTAATTCCTCCACCAGCATTTTGCTACGCTCAGGCCACTGCTCCTAATCCAGGGGCTATCTAGTTTTTCTGTTCTTGAGCTTCGTAGAAGCTGGCCCTAACACCTACTCTTGGTTTGGCACCTTCACTCAGCAAAAATTGCCTTGGATTTTTTTTTTTTTTCCTTTCCACAATTCTGTTCTCATCTTGTATTGTTATACTTGAGTTTTGGGTTATTATGTACAATCTAGTACACATGTTCTCTACTGGTGTGTTTGTCAAGCTGCAAACTATTTTTTCTTTGTTACAGATCTTCAGGTGCAATTACTGGATTGTAGATTATACAAACTTCAAGTTTTGAAGAGATTGTCAGTTTCCTCAACTTACTATAGCAGTATAGTAATGAAAAGGATGTTCAAAACTCTGATTTTCTTTACGTCCTTGCCAATATATGTTATAGAAAGTTTTTCTCTTAATTTTTAATCAAAAGTAGGAGGTGGCAAAAGCAGTGTCTCACTGTGAGTTTAATTTTTATTCATCTAATAACCAGTTATGATACTTTCCCATGTACTTGGCAATTGAGTTCTCGTCTTTTGCAGTGTTTCTAAGCTTTTCTCTCAGTTATAAGTGGGCTGCTTCTCTTCTTAGGCGATTGTCTTACATGTGTTATAAATAAAACTAATGTTTTCAGATTTTCTTATAGATGCTTTATTTATTTATTTGGAACCTGGGATCAAACTCGGGACCTTGTGCTTGCCAGGCAGGTGCTTAAGCAGCTGAGCTGTATCTCGGGCCTAGAAGCTTTGCTGCTTCGAGATACAAAATAGATGTGCACTGTCAGTAGGGATGACTTCAGACTCTCTGACACCTACAGCCTCCACAGATACAGAATATATTTTGATGCAAGAGCTGGGCTGGGTTGGAGAGTCCAGAGAGTTACTGCAGTCTTTTTCAAATCTCCATTTGCTCCCTTGGATTTGCACTGTAAATACTGGTTTTCTAAATTCTATTTTATGACAGGAAGATGGAATCTAGGACCTTTGTACTGAGCTACATTCTAAATAAACCCCACTGGCTCAGATTTTGACAGAAATTTACAAAGTCACTAAGTCTCGTGGGCTGGACACAAACTGGTGTCCTTCCTGCCTCAGCCTCCGAGAGTGCTGGGAAATCAGACAAGTTACACTGTAAGCTTTATTTCTTTATTTACTTTTCATTTTATGTATTAGGTACAAGGTCTCACTATACAGCTTGAGCACGTAGTGATCCTCCTGCTCTCAGCCTCCCCGGGGCTGGGATTGCAGGCGTGCGCCATGATGCCCAGACTCGGTCACCGGCTCAGGGCACCCCAGGGATGGGGCTGGTGTGGCCTGCGGGACCGGGTACACTGTAAGTGTTAAAGCACACTTTATCTTTTTTAAAAAATTTTCTAGCTACTCTGATATTATCATTTTGAGGGATCTCATGATTCTCCACTATTTCTGAAATCAATGTCTGATAATTTTTGCCAGCCTCTTTATCTTTAGAGGGCAGCATAGTGCTGAGGGCATGCCATGGGTCGGTACCTATTGGTTTAAAAAGATCGTATTCAAACAAGACTTCTAGAAAATTCCATCAAATGCATTCAGTGTGTTAATCTGAATATGGAAGTATCATGAAATTTATATACCAACAAGCCAATGGGAGAAAAAGGGATGTGTAATTGTTTATCCAAATCTACATGTAAATAAATATGCTTAACTTCTCAATCCAGGAGGGATAGACTGCTGTGCTTGCGGTCCCACGGCTGGGCGCTCCTGCTGTCTCCCTCTGCAATTTGGGTCCAAATTATAAATCTGACTGCTTCCATATCTGATATCGGGACTGGCACAAGCAGGCGTGAAGGTCCTGTTTAACTCATGCTTTGTGTGGCTCACACTTCTTATGCTATTTTCACTGATTATTTTCTTTTTAAATTCATTACTGTTTTACTATTTTATTGGTGAATATCTTGGTACTATGGAGATATTCATATTATATTTTAGTATATTTTATTTTATGTTTTTCTGTTTCTGAGACAGGGTTTCACCATGTAACTCAGGCTGGCCTTGAGCTCATTGCAATCCCCTGGCCTCATCCTCTCGAGGGCTGGAATTACAGGCATGTGCCACCACGCTTGGCTTTGACATTGTTAATATGAAGATACACAGTGATTTTCTGCATA